TTTCACTCTCCAAAGATAGGATGCGACTTCTGTGTGTGATATATTCTGTATATACACATTTCGTTACTAATCATCATTTTTAAGGACGTTTCGTAGTCAAAGGGCTATAATACAAAAACAGCGCTAAGTATTTTTTGTACATTACATTTTTTTTACTTTTATTTTTACTTTTATTTTTTAATTTAAATTAAAAATTTTTATTTAACTTTAAATTTTTTTAATTTCCTAAATTTAATTCTTTGTGCCTTATATTACCTTTTTTGAATATACGTTTAAATATATTTGAATTAAATAATTATTTAGAGATAAATAATTTATTTTTTATATATATCTATTTATCTAAATATTTTATAAAAATATATAATAACTTTACAATGTATATACATTCCAGTTTAAATTAATTACATAATTATTCATGTTATTTAAATATAAAGATGAATAAATATATATATATATATATTTTACTGAATTTATTTTGTTATTGTATATATTATAAACGTTTTAAAATAAAGCAATAATTATACATTTGTATCATTATAAGAAATTTATCTAAATATTATATATTATGTTGTCACTTACTTAGTGCAACTTTTTGATTTGACTACTTTTTGATGCTAATATTTTAACCTTTTTTCTCGTATTATCAATATAATTATTTAGCGCAATTTTTTGATTTCACTACTTTTTGATGCTAATATTTTAATTTTTTTCTAGTATTATTAACAAAAATAAAGGCTTCCGGTTCCGGTAAAAGAGTGAGTGACAGGTGTGTGAAAGCGTGGCAGGTATTTGTGAGGAAAGAGTGAGAAAAGGGGTGAGGTGATTAGGAGATAAGAGGTGAGAGGGTGTAGAAAAAAGAGGAGGAGAGATTGAAAGGATAGGAGAGGATAAAGGGGTAAGGAGTTAGAAAGGAAAAAGTAGGAAAAGGTGAGACACGTGGACACGTAGACACGTGGAAGAAAGAGAGTAGAGGAGAGTAGGTGTAGGGAGTAGGTGCAGGAAAGTAAAAAGATAGGGAATTCACTAGGGAAATCACTAGCGAGTTGGAGCGAGTTGGAGCATAGAGTAGGTGAATCGAAGAAAGAAAGCGATAAGAAAGAAATGATTAATGAAGAGAATATTAGAGATAGGAGGATAGAGATCAATAGAGATAGGATGTTAGAGGAAGGGGGAAAAAAGGGAGATGAGGAAGAAATAAAAAAGAAGGCAGGGAGGCCGAGAAGAGTAGAGGAGTTAGGGAAGGAGAGGAGGAGCAGTATGGGATGCATAGAGGATTTTTTGAAAAGGAAAAGAGAAGAAGGGGGAGAGGGAGGATAAGGAGGAAAAGGAAAGAAGCCTAAGAAGGAGCAAGAAGACAGAAAGGCTGAATAGAGAGGTAGGGGGGATAGAAAAGGAGGAGTTAAGGAGAATGATGGAAGAGATAGGGGAGAAGATAACAGAGAAGTTAGGCGAGGAAATGAGAAAATTGAAGATAGAAATTTGGAAAAAGGAGGGGGAATGGAGAGAAGAAAGAAGAGAATTAAGAAAAGAGATAGAGAGCCTGGAGAAGAGAGTGATAGATTTGGAAGCAAGAGTAGAGGAAAGAGGAAGAAAGGAGGTAAGAGAAAGAGAGGGGGGCGAAGGAGGGAGTAAGGGGATAAACGAGACAATAATAGGAAAAGTGAAGGACATAGGAAAGAAATTAGAATGGAAGGAAAGAGAAGAGAGAAGAAACAACATTGTAATAAAAGGAATGGAGAAAGGGAAGGAAGGTGTAAAGGAAAGAGTAGAGAAATTAATGAAAGAGATAGGAGCGAAAGCAGAGATAGAATGGATAAGGATGTTGAAAGGAAAGGAGGGAAAGGAAGGTGAAATGGTGGTAGTAAAACTAGGAAGTGAAGAACAGAAAAGACAGGTAATGGAGAGGAAGAAGATATTAAGAGGAAAGAGGGTGAGAATAGAAGATGATTTAACATGGGAAGAGAGAAAGATAAAATGGAGACTAATGGAGATCGCGGAGATAGAAAGGAGGACAGGAAACAATGTATGGACGAGCTATGGAAGGATAAAAATCAATGATGTATGGTGGAGATGGGAAGAGGAGGAAGGTGTGCTAAAAAATTGGAAAGGAGAAATTAGAGAAGGTATAGAGAAAATGAGGGGGGAAGAAGGGGGTATGAAGACAGGAATGGAGGAAAAAAAGGGATAGAAGAAGGGAGAAGAGAAGAAAGGAGGAGGAAAGGAGGAGGGGGGAGAACAATAGTAAGAAGAGAAAGGAGGAAGGAGAAAGGGGGACGGAGGAAGGAAGGAGAAAGGAACAGGAGAGAAAGGAAAAAGGAGGGGAAGTAAGAGAAGAATGGAAGATAGGTTTTTGGAATGTGGCAGGGCTGAAGAATAAGGAAGAAAAGTTCTGGAAGGAAATAGAAGATTGGGAGGTGGTGGTGATGATGGAAACATGGATAGAGGAAAGGGGGTGGGAGGCGATTAAAAAGAGGTTACCGAAAGGATATAGATGGGAGAAGCAAGCAGCAAAGAAGAGAAAGAAGAAAGGAAGACCGATGGGGGGAATGATCATGGGGGTAAGGGAGGAGAGGGGGAAGATAAAAGTATCAGGAATGGGAGAAAAGGCGGAGGGAATAATGATGGCGGATTTAGAAGTAGGAAGAGAGAAGTGGAGGGTAATAGGCGTATACATCAACGGGGACATGGAAAGGAAATTGGAGGAAATGAAGGAATGGATGGAAGAGAAAGAAGAAAATAAATGGACGATTTTGGGAGGAGATTTCAACGCAAGGACAGGTAGAAAGGGGGGGGGGATAGGAGGGGAGGAGGAGGAAGAAGAAAGAAGATCAAAGGACAAGAAAGTTAATGAGGAAGGGAAGAAGTTGATAAAAGAGTTGTAAGAGGTGGGATGGGGAATTTTTAACGGAGGGATAAGAGGGGATAGAAAGGGGGAGTACACATATACAGGAGGAAGAGGGGAATCGGTAATAGATTACGTGGTGGGAGAGGATAGAGTAAAGGAAAGGATAAAGAGAATGGAGGTGGGAGATAACATAGAATCGGACCATCACCCATTGATTGTAACGCTAGAAAGAAGAGGAGGAGCTGAAAAGGGAAAAAGGGGGGAGGGAAATGGAATAAGAAAAAGAGGGAGATGGACAAAGAGGGGAGGAGAAAGAATAAGAGAGGAAATAGAGTGGGGAGAGGGGTGGAAGGAGGGGATTGAAGAGGAGCTAGAGGAAAAAAATAGGAAGAATAGAAGAGGAATTGAGAGAAGGAGAAAAAGAGAGTGGAGAAGGGAAAAGGAAAGGGTGGTGGGACGAGGAATGTGAGGAGAAGAGGAAAGAAGTGAGGAAAAAGTTAAGGGAATGGAGGAAAAAAGGAGGAGGAGGAGAAGGATATAGAAAAGTAAGGGCGGAATATAGGCTAATGTGTAAAGGAAAAAGGGAGGAGGAGAGGCTAAGATGGTACAAGGAGGCGATAGAGGCAAGAACGGAAGGAGAGGTATGGAAGATTATAAACAGGGAAAGGAAAAAGAGAGAAGGGGTGAATGAGGAGATAAAGGCGGAGGAATGGAAGGAATACTTCATGGACTTATTGGGAGGGATAGAGGTAAAAGTGGTAAGAGGAGGAAAAGAAAAAAGGGAGAGGGATGAGGAGCAGGAGATAAGCAGGGAGGAAGTGAAGAGGATGCTGGGAAAACTGAAGAAAGGAAAAGCAGCGGGGGAGGATGGGATACCGAGTGAGGTATGAAAATATGGAGGGGAGAGGGTAGAAGAGTGGGTATGGGGAATGTGCAACAGAGTATGGAGAGGAGAAGGATGGCCGGAGAGGTGGAAAGAAGGGATAATAGTACCACTGTTGAAAAAGGGAACGGGGAATAAAGTGGAAAACTATAGAGGAGTAACATTGATGCCAACGCTATACAAGATATACGTGGGGATTTTAACTGAAAGGTTAAAGGAAGAAATGGAGGGGAAGAATATGATACCGGAGAGTCAGACAGGTTTTAGGAAGGGAATGGGGGTGATGGATAGTATCTATGTGTTGAACTATCTGGTGAATAAGAGGGTAAACAAGAAGGGGGGAAAGGTAGTCGCGGCACTTATGGACCTGAAGGCGGCGTTTGATTCGGTAGATAGGGAGGTGTTAATGGAGGCAATGAAGAGGAGGGGAGTGAGGGAGGGATTAAGGAGTAGGATAGAAGAAGTGTACAGGGAAACGAGGAGTAAGGTAAGAGTGGGGAAGGAGGAGGGAAAAAATTTTTGGACGGCAAGGGGGGTGAGGCAAGGTTGCCCAATGAGTCCGCACTTATTCAGTTTGCTGATAGCGGATATAGAGGAAGTGCTAAGAAAAGGAGGTTGGGGGGGGGGGTAAAACTGGGAGGGGAAAAGGTGCATTGTTTGGCGTACGCAGATGATATGGTACTGTGGGCGGAGGATGAAGAAGGGATGATACATATGTTGGGGAAAATGGAAAGTTATATGGACAAGAAAAGGTTAGAGGTGAATGTGGATAAGACAAAGGTAATGAGGTTTAAAAAGGGAGGAGGAAGAATGAAGAGAGTGGAGTGGAGATGGAAAGGAAAAAGGTTAGAGGAAGTGAAAGAATTCACATATTTAGGGTATAAGCTACAGAGGAACGGGGGGCAGGAGGCGCAGGTAAAGAACAGAGTTAGGAAAGCAGGAGCAGTGATAAGACAAATCCCAAAAAATTCTCGCTTCGCGCCTTGGCTACGTGTCTCGGATCATTATTGAGCGTCCAGCCACGAGACGAGATAGATCGATACACCTTTTGTTGAAATATCGTCCGCCTCGTTTCTAACACTCTTATTATAATTTGTGATTTGAATAAAAGTATATTAAAACGAATCCGCGAGTGACCATTAACGAAAACTACCGCCTTGGCGTGCGAACCTTCTATACAAGGTTTTACCAACGAGAAACAAAACATTTTGGTCCTTCGAGCCGGATCGTCGCCAAGGACAATTATTGGCATTCCGAATCACGATCGTCGATATGAACACCTCGACATCTTTCGAAGAGCTTTTGGCTCTGCAAACACAGAAGATGAGTTTCGTATCACGGGCGCTCATCAATTACAAGAAGCTGGGGCAAGCCAAAATGACACCTGCGGTGACACGTCAACGTCTCGTCACCTTGAAGGAAGCCTTTGCCACTTGCCAGGAGCTCGACAGTCGAATCGGGCTTCATGCGGACGATGACGACAAAGCATCGCATACCTACTTCACAAAGAATTCGTTTCTGGAATGTGAGGACTGCTACAACGAGGCTGCCGACTACATGGCTGAGGTATTAGAGAGCTACGAATCCCGCATCCCTCCCGCTACATCATCACAAAACGTAAGTGGCTTGCATGATGTTTTCCGACCCGCGTCGCATCTTCCGAGGATCAACCTACCGACCTTCGACGGGAGCATCGACAAGTGGGAAAGCTTTCGCGATAAATTCCAGTCGATGATTCATAATGATCATAGTTTATCAAATGTCGATCGCTTACATTATTTGTGCTCATGTGTAAAAGGGGATGCAAGTAACGCGCTTGACCACCTCGCGGTAACCAATAATAATTTCGACGTCGCGTGGAGAATTCTAGTCTCTCGGTACGACAACAAACGTCGTCTTGTTACAACGCATTTACAATCGCTGTTAAATTTGCCGTTACTGACCACAGAAACCGCTCATGACCTTCGTCAGCTTCGCGACCAAACAAACAAAGCAATCCAAGCGCTTAGAAATCTCAACCGTCCTGTCGAACATTGGGATGATTTGCTTGTTTTGCTCGTCGCACAAAAACTCGATAAATACTCGCGTAAAGCTTGGGAACTCAAGCTCGGCGATACGGTGGAATATCCGCGTTATAATGAGCTCGATCAATTTCTTGAGTCTCGAATTCGCGCTCTCGAGGCGATCGTACCACTTTCTAAAGAAAAACCATCCTCTACCTCTAAAGGAAAAATTCTTGTGTCGCATACCGCGTCCACCGTTTCGTTCGCATGTCCGTTGTGCAAGGCCAATCACTTATTATACCAATGTTCGACATTTTTAAAGCAAACACCCTCTCAACGTTTCGATTTTATTAAGCAGCGAAAACGATGTTTAAACTGTTTTAGTAGTAAGCATTCCGTCAAAGATTGTTCGAATTCGCGCGTATGCCGCCAGTGTAATAAACGTCATCACACGTTATTACATTTCGATAATTCGACTCCGCCGGTGCAAACGGAGTCACCGCCAGCAACAAGCGCAAATGTAAACGAAGTCGTGTCGCATTTACTATCGAAAACCGTCGCGCCTAATTCTAATATTTTGCTTGCGACTGCCCGGGTGAGAGTCTATTCGCCTGTTGGACGTTTTATAACTGCACGCGCACTTCTGGATCAAGGTTCCGTTTCTACGTTTATTACCGAATCGCTCGCGCAACGTTTACGACTCTCTAAAATAAATCGTTCAATGTTCGTCACCGGCATCAGCGAGATGCAATCCGTTGTCCGTCACGCCGCTCATCTTACAATTACGCCGGCGAATCGCGACGAACCCGCTTATTCAACGACCGCACTCATTCTTCGATCGTTGACAAAATATGTACCGAATCGAATAAGCACGACGGGTACGTGGAACCATGTCGACGGACTCCAATTAGCGGATAGTGACCCCATGAGTACCGACCCGATTGATATGATAATCGGAGCGGATTTATACGGCATGCTCGTACTCGATGGTGTTCGACAAGGTTCCGAAACGGAGCCCACCGCGCAAAATACTACTCTCGGTTGGATTTTGTCCGGGCCAATCGCTTCGTCCCCGACCAATCTTTCGATTTTGAGACCGCGCATCACGGAGTCGTCCTTGAAGCGTTAGATTTCGACCTTCGTCGTTTCTGGGAGACTGAAGAGGTCCCTCAGACCCAACATCATAGCCCTGACGAGCGCAAGTGTGAAGAGCACTTTCTCGCTACCCATTCCCGCACTCCTCAAGGACGCTATATTGTTAGATTACCGTTTAAAACCGGACCACCACTCTCGTTAGGAGAATCTCGCTTCATTGCCGAATCGAGCCTCTATCGCTTAGAGCGACGTTTCAAACGCAATCCATCTATCGCTTCAGAATACCACGACTTTCTCAAGGAATACGAAAACCTTGGTCATATGATCAAAATTCCACCGACAGAAATTGTCCAACCGGATCAAAGTTATTACATACCGCATCATGCTGTCTTACGTGACAGTAGTGCAACTACTCGACTGCGGGTTGTTTTTAATGCATCCTGCCGTACCACTAACGGAACCTCGTTAAACGATAATATGTTTATCGGACCTAAACTTCAAAAGGATTTGGCCGCTGTCATAATGCAGTGGCGCCAATATCGTTACGTATTTACCGCCGATATCGCCAAAATGTATCGTCAAATTTTAGTTGACTTCCGCGATACTGATTACCAGCGCATTCTATGGCGCTCTTCTCCCAGCGAACCTGTTCGCGACTACCGTCTTCTTACCGTGACGTACGGCACTGCCGCCGCTCCGTATCTCGCTCTTCGAGTGCTAGACCAACTCGCTGAAGATGACGGTGCTCAATTTCCGTTGGCCGTCCCTGTTCTACGTCATCAAACATACGTTGATGATTGCGCGTTCGGAGCCGACGATCATATCCTTGCACGGCAAACACGAGACCAATTAATCGCGCTTCTCGCTAAAGGAGGCTTTCGCCTACGAAAGTGGGCAAGTAATTCTCCAGATCTTTTGTCAGACCTCGATCCTGCCGATCATGGACTAGCCACTCACAAAGTCCTCCAAGACGATGAACACCTTAAAGTGTTAGGAGTTAGTTGGAATCCAAAGCTCGATGCGTTTCAACTTCGCGTATCTCTCCCGTCTTCGCCGGGAAAAACGAAAAGAGCTATTCTCTCGACAATCGCTGGGTTTTTCGATCCGATGGGATGGGCCGCTCCCGTCATCATCGGTGCAAAGATCTTTATGCAACGATTGTGGTCGATCCAATGTCAGTGGGACGACGACATTCCGGGTGAACATTTCGACCACTGGGCAACTTATCATCACCAACTACCGCATCTCGAGACGCTCAGTATTCCGCGTTGGACGACGCACGGATCTCATACTCTGCACAGCGCACTCCATGGCTTTTCCGATGCCTCAACTATGGCTTTCGCAGCCGTTGTTTACCTTCGCGTTGTTAATGTCGACGGCTCAATTAACATCTCTCTTCTCATCGCAAAATCGAAAGTGGCTCCCCTCAAGACGATAAGCGTTCCCCGATTGGAATTGTCGGCGGCGCTCCTTCTCGCTCGGTTAGTTAATTATGTGCGGTCCGCTCTTCAACTTCCGAGTATCGAATGTCACTGTTGGACCGACTCAACCATCACACTCGCTTGGCTAAGTCAGTCTCCATCTCGATGGAAAACTTTCGTTGCCAATCGCGTTTCGATCATTCAGTCCTTGCTGCCTGAAGTTTCTTGGCGTCATGTTCCAACGCAGGACAATCCTGCCGATTGTGCTTCTCGCGGTCTAGCTCCCCATGCTCTCGCAAATTATAATTTATGGTGGTCAGGTCCTTCATGGCTTTGCCAATCTCCAGAATCCTGGCCGACTTGCGAGCTCTCGATACCAGCCGAGACCGCCCTTGAACAGCGTTCTCAACCACCTATTCATTCTTTACATGTAACCCCTAGTTGGGATCTCGCATCACGTTATTCTTCGTGGCCTCGATTGCTCCGAATTACCGCTTATCTTTACCGTTTTCTTTATCGACTCCGATCCTCTAAAAGCGCATCGTCTTCACAAGCGATCCTCCATCCCGAAGAGATCCAGAAAGCCAAACATTACTGGCTCCGAGTTATGCAATCCGAGATGTTTTCCGTTGAAATCTCGACTTTACAACGGCAACTTCCGTTACAAAAAACTAGTTCCTTATCCACACTCAATCCTTATTTAGACGCTGACGGACTTCTTCGCATCAGAGGACGGCTCCGTCATGCTTGCCTTTCAGAAACGACGAAGAATCCGCTCGTATTACGAGCACATCCATTGCTAGTTCTTATTATTCAGCATCATCATCTCAGAACGTTACATGCTGGTCCCCAATTAACACTCGCTTCATTACGTAATGAATTTTGGATCCTCCGATCTCGCGCTACCGTTCGTGCTGTTCTGTATCAGTGCGTACAATGCACTCGTGAGCGCGCTAAAAAACCTGTCGAACTCATGGGCGATCTACCGGAGGCGAGAGTTAACCGTGCCGCTCGCGCATTTATACATACTGGCGTTGATTACGCTGGACCAATCACTGTCCGAACCGCGCCCGGCCGAGGACACAAATCGCAAAAGGCTTACATTGCGCTGTTCATATGTTTAACGACCAAGGCTATGCATTTAGAACTTGTTTCCGATTACAGCTCGCCGACCTTTATTGCAGCGTACCAGCGATTTGTCTCCCGCCGAGGACTACCGCAGTCCATGTACTCAGACAACGGTACAACCTTTCATGGCGCTAATCGAGAATTATCCGAAGCTCACGCGAAAGCAATTCGCGATCCAAGCTTTCGTAATCGTCTCGCTAGCGATGGAACTGCGTGGCAGTTCCTACCCCCGGCCGCACCACATTTCGGCGGACTGTGGGAAGCCGGGGTCAAGAGCGTCAAATACCACATAAAGCGTTGCATCGGCCTCCATACATTAACTTTTGAAGAAATGACCACGTTTCTTTGTCGCATTGAAGCTTGCTTAAACTCTCGTCCGATCGCTCCCGTCTCCGATAATCCTGACGATTATCACGCGTTAACGCCTGGTCATTTCTTGATCGGTACCTCTCTTCTCGCTCCCGCCGAACCAAGCGTGCTTGAATTTAACGAGAATCGATTGTCGCGTTGGCAAATGATTCAACGTCTGACGGAAGAGTTTTGGCGGTCCTGGTCAAGCGATTACTTGCATTCTCTTCAACAACGCCCAAAATGGCGCGTTATCCAGCGACTTGCCAAAGTTGGCCAAATAGTCCTAGTGCGTAATCCCTTGGCTCCGCCCAGCCATTGGGACCTTGGACGAATTGTCGCCTGTCATCCAGGAGAAGATGGCCTGACGCGCGTTGTCACGGTCAAAACCTCCCGTTCTGAATATAAACGACCGATCGTGAAACTATGCTTCTTGCCTGTTGCGATTAATACCGAAGAAGTAAAAGATTCCGTTATGGCGGGCGGAATCTCGTCTTAATATGCGCTAACACCCCGTTCTTTGTTATTGAAGTATCTACGAGATACTGATATTCTTTGTACAGCGTTTATTCCATTATGTCTTTTATTATTGTTAAACCATTTGTACTTTTTCGAATGCCTACATTCGAGGCGGGCGGTATGTTCAGGAATAAGCCTAATCCTAAAGTATAGGTCGTTCAATTCTCCGTTTATATTATCGTTCGACATCTCAGTAATTATTCGCGCCAACGCGGGACAACACGTCAAAAACACATGTGATCCACGTGTTACTCGCCTGTCTTTTCCTTTGCTCGACGCGAATCGCCTGCGCAAATCCCCAAAATTCTCGCTTCGCGCCTTGGCTACGTGTCTCGGATCATTATTGAGCGTCCAGCCACGAGACGAGATAGATCAATACACCTTTTGTTGAAATATCGTCCGCCTCGTTTCTAACACTCTTGTTATAATTTGTGATTTGAATAAAAGTATATTAAAACGAATCCGCGAGTGACCATTAACGAAAACTACCGCCTTGGCGTGCGAACCTTCTATACAAGGTTTTACCAACGAGAAACAAAACAAAAAATAATACATCAATTTTCGGCTCCAATCTTTTTACTTATTTTTCTACTTCTCTCGGAGAAAAGGAAATTTTATCTTAATGTACAAATTTTTCTTTGTCTTATAACCTTTTTGATATAGTTTTAATTACTAAATTTTTTTTAATTTATTTTTATATGGATCTTTGCCAACTTCCTTGTAATTATCGGAACTTTCCCTTTAACCCTACGAGGATTAAAAAACCAAACCTTCTGTCCTACTTCGAAAAGAATTCTTCTGGCACTACGATCATAACGAATTTCATCTGAGAAGTATATATTATTCGCTCTTAACCGAAAGAATGAATTTCTTTAACTTCTCTTTTAGATTTCTAGTAAAATTTTTTCTTGGAAGTCTTCCTTCAGAAGATTCAGATTTCCTCGTAAAAGATCCATTGGTAACCTTAGTTCCCTACCAAAATATAGCTCTGCCGGAGTCACGCCAGTGGTTTCATGCTTCGAAGATCTGTAAGCTAAAAGAAACATGGGAATCCATCGATCCCAGTCTTTTTGATCTTCCGATACGTATTTCGCTAGGAAATTTGAAATAGTCTGATGTTGGCGTTCTAGTTGTAGATTGAGGAGAGAGATGCAAGGCGGTATTCTGGGTGTAATTTAAAAGAAAAAAGTAATTGAAAAGTGGATTCTTGATTCTTGAAGATCAGTGAACTTCACTTGGAATTCCAGGCCTTGAGATAAATTCACTAACAAAGACTTCAGCGACCATTTTAGCTCTGATATTTTTAATAGGAAAAGCCTCCACCCATTTAGTGAAGCAATCTACGATAACAAGCAAATATTTGTTTCCGGATCTTGTCAAAGGGGGGACCAAAATGTCCATCTGTATTCTCTCTAAGAACTCCAACGTTAAAAATTTGTAAAGAGAGATTTCCCTTTTCCTGAAGAATTTCTTTGAAACACAGATTTTACAGGTTTTGCACCATTCCTCAACATCTTGTTTGCAGGTTGCCCAGAAGAATCGTTTTCGAATTTTTCCTAGAGTCTTATTGGCTCCGAAATGTCCTCCTGTTGGAGAATCATGCGTCTCCTCTAATATTTCCTTTATTCGTACTCGAGGAACCACGAGTTGGAGAAAATTTGATTTTAAATTTGGAGCTTCCCATTTTTTATAGAGGATCCCATTTTTCACAATCAAAGAATCCCAATACGACCAATATATTAGAGTTGAAATGTCCTCTCCGACTATTTCTGAGCGTGGGGGACGAATTTTTGTTTCCTTGGCACGAAGAATAAATGAAATGTCAGGATCTTGTCGTTGCATTTCACGCCAATTTTCCAAATTTTCGCCTTCGAACACAATACGAGAAACTGTTTGTTCCCTCTCCTCTAATTTTTCTTTTCCACTTTTGCACATATTGACAATTGTTTGATTCACAAAGTTTTCTAGACAATCCGTCAGCATTATTGTGAGAAATCCCTTTACGATAGATAATCTCAAACTCGTATTGCTGTAATCTTTCCATCCATCGAGCTAATTGATCTTCCAAATCTCTGAAAGATAAAAGCCATCGTAACGAAACATGATCCGTACGGATTAAAAACTTTTGTCCCAAAAAATAATGACAAAAAAATTTTATAGAATCTACTATCGCTAAAAGTTCCCGACGAGTAACGCAATAGTTCCGTTCGGCTTTATTAAGCACACACTAAAATAAGCAATTACTTTCTCTTTTCCATCTTGTTTCTGAGACAACACTGCACCGATTCCTATATTCGACGCGTCGGTATCTAATAAAATTCTTCCCTTTTTCCTTGGAAAAGAAAGAATTGGAGAAGAACATAATAAAAACTTTAACTTTTCAAAAGCTTTTTGACATTCATCTCCCCATATGTATTTAATTTGACCTTCTGTCAACATGTAAAGGGGTTTAGCTAAGGAAGAGAATCCTTTAACAAATTTACGATAATAAGAACAAAATCCCAGAAAACTTCGTAATTGTTTTTTGTTGAGGTATTGGCCAATCTTTAACAACGGAAAATCTTATCGGGATCTGTAACAACGCCCTCCGCAGAAATCACATGACCCAAATATTTTACAGTTTTACTATTTAAATAACACACATTTCTTCGGATTTATTTTTAAATTTGCTTCTCTTAATCGTAAAAATACTGTTCTAAGATTGTTTATCATTTTGTAGTAATATTTGTCCACAAACGATAACTTTTTTAAGAGCTTTTATTAATACGTGTTATCAATGAGAAATTACAATAAAAAGTGTAAGTAATAAAAGATGTATTTGTTTAATAAACAAATGGTCTGTAACATAGTAACGAAGGTGTAAAAACGTATAAGGTGTAAGTGTATATGTGGTGTAAGTGTAGATGTAAAAATGCTATAGTTAATGCTGCAGTAACGCCACAGTACTCCCCCCCAAGCGACGACTACGTTGCGAAATGGACTTTCTTCTTAGCTGGGTAAGTTCGTAGTGGTTTTCCGAAAGAAGCAGTAGAAGAAGTACTATGATCATCCATGACTGATGTGGTTGTAGGAACTGCAGGTACAACTGATGGTACAACAGATGTGGTTGTAGATGTAGATGTAGACGAAGTACTCGAAGAGGATGAATGAAGAACAGAAGAATCTTCCTTGGGAAAAAAGGCTGGTTTCAGACGTTCCGTTGAGACGTTGACCAATTTTCCTGAAATGTCAATAGTAAACAAAAAATCAGAAATTCGTTTGTTAACAAGAAAAGGACCAGAATAAGGTGCTTGAAGAGATTTCTTAACAGCATCTTCACGAAGCCAAACATGAGTACAATCGTAAAGATTTTTGTGTACAAAAGGTGATTTTTTGGAGTGATGATGGGTAGGAGAAGATCTAATATTCCTCATATGTATTCTATGTTTCTCTAAAAATATTTCAGGATCTGCTGGAAAATCTTCCTCAATAAAGAATTCACCAGGAATCCGAAGAGTAGTTCCATAGAGTAATTCAGCAGGTGAAGTTTTCAAATCTTCTTTGAAACACGAACGAAGACCAAGAAGAACAGTAGGTAAAGATTCCAACCAATTCTTCGTCTGATGACACATAATTGCAGTCTTAACAGTCCTATGCCATCTCTCCAGAATTCCGTTTGAAGCTGGATGATAAGCAGAAGTTCTCTTGCGATCACATCCAATCAAATTAGTTAATGCTTTAAAGAGAGATGCTTCAAATTGTGGGCCTTGATCTGTAGTAATAGTTATAGGAGATCCATATCTAGCCACCCAATGAGAATAGAAAGCTGTCGAAACTGTTTCAGCAGTTATTTCTTTAAGTGGAATAGCTTCAGGCCACCTCGAGAATCGATCTATTATTGTTAAGCAATAACGGAAATCTTGACAAGAAGGAAGAGGGCCTATTAAATCCAAATGAACATGTTGAAAACGCTGATCAGGAACCGCAATTTTAACAGGGACATTTTTTGTATGTCTTGAAATTTTGGAACGTTGACAAGGTAGGCAAGAGCGAGACCACTCTTTAACGTCTTTATTCAATGACGGCCAAATAAATTTCTGTAGAAGTTGTTTAGCTGTAGTTCTACCGCTGGGATGTGCGAGGCCATGAACTACATCAAAAATTCTCTTACGAAGAGGTTTAGGAACGTATGGACGAATTAACTCAGAGGAACAGTCACAATATATAGGTACAGATGAACCAGTAAGCATAAGTTTCCTTAATTGAAGTGAAGAGTTCAAAGAAAGGAGATCTTGAAGTTCTTCATCATCCTTTTGAAATTCTGCTAATTCTTCCAGAGAGACAATGATTGGCATTGAAACTGATTCAATTCTTGATAAAGCATCAGCTACAGAATTTAACTTGCCTGAAATGTGGACAATATTAGTAGAGAATTGAGCAATAAGATCCAGTTGCCTAATTTGTCTAGGTGAAGCTTTGTCAGGTTTCTGAAGAAAAGCATAAATTAAAGGTTTGTGATCTGTCCTAATAATGAGTTGTCGTCCCTCAAGCAAATATCTGAAATATTTAATTGCTAAATAAATGCTTAAAAGTTCTCTATCGTAAGTACTGTAGTTCTTTTGAGTTTTATCAAGTTTTTTAGAAAAGAATGCAATTGGTTTATTGACATTTTCAATTGATTGTTCAAGTGATGCTCCTACAGCGAAATCAGAAGCATCACAAGTAAGAATCAAAGGAACTTGAGGAGCAGGATGAGAGAGAGTAGTCACACGGAGAAGTTCTTCTTTGCAATTCTGAAAAGCTGCTTCTGTCTCCATAGACCAAGGAATAGTTCTCCTATCTCTCTTGCGACTGTCCTTCAAAAAGTTTGTAAGTAATGCTTGATGTTCAGCTGCGTTTTTAAGGCAACGACGATAATAATTAATAATACCAATAAATCTTCTTAAATCATGTATTGTCTTAGGTTTGGGATAGTCGATAATTGATTTGACTTTTTGTTCTGTAGGTTTGATTCCTTGATTAGAGACAAGATATCCGAGAAAAGTAATTTCTTTTTGACCAAAAAGACATTTGGAAACATTAAGTGACAATCCAGCTTCTGTAGACGATCAAAAACAATCCGCAAATGAGCTATGTGTTCTGACTCATCTCTAGAAGCTATGAGAATATCATCAAGATAGCAAAATGCAAAATCTAAATCATTTAACAATATATTCATAAACCTCTGAAAAGTTTGAGCTGCGTTACGAAGACCAAAAGGCATAACCAAAAATTCGAAAAGTCCAAAAGGTGTAGTTACAGCGGTCTTAGGAATATCTTCCTTTGCAACGGGTACTTGATAGTACGCTTTAACCATATCAATCTTAGAAAAGATATTCTTACCGTAGAGCTCCGCAGTGAAATCCTGTATGTGAGGCAATGGATATCGATCAGGGACAGTGACCGAATTTAACGCACGATAATCTCCACAAAGTCTCCATACATTTTCCTTTTTTGGAACCATATGTAAAGGTGCTGCCCACGTACTGCATGATGGTCTACAAATACCTTGGTCCATCATGAATTTAAATTCTTCTTTAGCATACTTCAGTTTCTCCGGAGAAAGTCTTCTGGGAATTGCAAATTTCGGAGGACCTTCCGTAACAATCCGATGTTCAATTCCATGTGAGTTTACCGATGAAAGAGGGGCAAAATGAGTAAGTCCTTGAAATTCTGCTAAAATCTTGTGAAAAGAAGAATCTGGAGATGTGGTACAAATTGATAATTGCAAAACTTCTTGTATCTTTCCACAGTTTTTAAGACCTGTTAAGGAATCAATTAGACGTTTGTTTTTAACATCTACAAGGAGATTAAAATGTCCGAGGAAATCTGCGCCTAAAATGGGACGTTGTATGTCCGCCACGCAAAATTTCCAACGGAAAATTCTCCTGAGACCAAGATCCACGGAAAGAGTTTTAGATCCATAAGTATCAATGTGTGTTCCGTTAGCAGCAAAAAGTTTTAAATTGGTTGATAACGGTTTGTATAATATTTTCTTGGGAAGCAAAGAAATGTCAGCACCAGTGTCAACAAGAAATTGTAAATTAGACGACTTGTCAAAAATAACGAGGCGATGACAAGGTAAACCGTTGCGAGTTGCCTCTATCTTCAACGGTATCTCTAGTTTTCCGTTGAATCAGTGAGACAAAGAGTTTTTGACTTAGTACAAGGAATTGTACATTTCTTTGCTTTATCTCCAAATTTCTTGTGATAAAAACAAATTTGTTCCTTAGAATCCGACTTTTTATCTTTTGAATTAGATCTTAATCTTGTTTTACTTCGAGATCGACTAAAAGATCTACCGCGACGACGAAAAACTTCCAGCGCAGCAATTCTTTTTTCTAAATCGGCAAGATCCGATTGCTTTGATTTTAAAGAAGTATTTACTTCGGTTATTTGATACCCGGTATCACGTTCGACTATTTTATCAGCGAGTTCAGCTAGCTTGATTAAGGGTACGTCCTCAACAACAGCTAAAGTCGCTTGAACTTTGTATGGCAAACGTTGAAGCCAAAGTGAATGTAAAATATTATCCGCTAAAGATCCACCGGATAATTGGCGTATCTCTCGTAAAAGCTCCGTTGGTTTTTTATCATTCAATTCAATTCCGGCTAATAATTGACGTAAGCGTTTTTCTTCTGAATCCGTGAAGCGATTAATGAGCGCCGATTTTAAAGCGTTATATTTATCATTTTCGGGTGGATTTTCAACAATTTCCGAAACGACAATTAATGCCTTTTCATCGAGATGACGGATAACAGTACTATATTTTATTTCTTCGGAACGTATACGAAATACCAAAAATTCGCTTTCGACTTGAGCAAACCACAATTTAGGTTGCTTGTGCCAGAATGTGGGAAGTTTTACCAGACGAAATTCATTAGAATGGATCTGAATGGACTCACCAGATTGCTGTTGCATATTTCCAGAGGGTGAATTAAAAATTTCCGATCCCACCTGATTTAAAATGTTCTCTTTCGAAGATGTCAAAGCAGTTGAAGTAGACGGAACAGTAGAGTTAGTTGTCTCAGTTCTAGGAGGAGATCTATCCAAAGGCATCTCGATTGATATTCCGATGACGAAAAGAAACGATCCGGAAATCCAAGTCCGAAGATTCTTGACCACGTATAGAAATTTTTCAAAAATTCAGAAATTGAATTTCCCGCTCAAGAGAATATTCCTGTGTTGATCACTGATCACGTCGGGGTCACCAAAATGTAGTAATATTTGTCCACAAACGATAACTTTTTTAAGAGCTTTTATTAATACGTGTTATCAATGAGAAATTACAATAAAAAGTGAAAGCAATAAAAGATGTATTTGTTTAATAAACAAATGGTCTGTAACATAGTAACGAAGGTGTAAAAACGTATAAGGTGTAAGTGTATATGTGGTGTAAGTGTAGATGTAAAAATGCTATAGTTAATGCTACAGTAACGCCACAATTTCAGTAAACTTTGCCCAAAAATTACACATCATCCAATAACATGCAAATTTGATAATAAATTTGTAAGACTTTTTCCATAAGGCTTCAAATGTTGCAGGGGCGTCACACAACCCAAAGGGCATAATTGTAAATTGCCAAAGTCCTTTTCCTATTGAAAAAGCCGTTTTCTCTTTGTCTTCGGGACGGATCTTAATTTGCCAATACCCACTTTTAAGATCAAGAGTGGAAAACCAAGAATTACCTGTTAGCTGATCAAGAATGTCATCAATTCGGGGAAGGGGATAAAAATCCTTAATAGTCACCTCGTTTAATTTTCTATAATCAACATAGAACCTTATAGAACCGTCCTTTTTTTTAACCATGACAGCAGGAGAAACCCATGGACTATGTGACTCCTCAATTACTCCACGTGAACTCATATCTTCCAAAATCTTATCGACTTCTTCCCTCATTTGAATCGGAATCCTACGAGGAACCTGTTTTATGGGAGGAGAATCTCGCACATTTACAATATGTTCTACAACACTACAATTTCCCGCAATAATGTTCTCAGAAAATAAATCATCAAATTCATTAAGAAAATCGACAAAACTTTCCTTTTCTATTTCAGTTAAATGTTGAGAATTCATTTCATAGAGTTCTTTCAAGGGGATTGGAACTTTTTTTAAAAGAATCTTCAATTCTAGCTATTTCTTTTTCAAACGTCGGAATTCCAAAAGCCGATTCAAAGATTTTTTCCAAATTTACCATTTTTAGAAAATCTATTCCCAAAAGACATTCATCATTTATGTCTGCAATAAACATTGGAATTTTTAACGAATATTTCCCTAATTCGACTTTAACTTCTGCCCAAAATTCTACACGAACTTTTTCTCCGGTGGGATATCTTAAATTAACAAAATTCTTAGAAATCTTCCTTTTCTCTTTTTCAACAATTTGCTATTTATTATGGAAACATCGGAGCCCGTGTCAACCTTGAAAGAACATACTTTATCATCTATTTTTCCTTTAAAAATGAAATAATCATTATCCTTAATTCTATTTACATTTAATATAACTTCCGAGGAATTTTTCACGGAAGCCAAACTCTCTCCGGTAAGCTCGGCTAAACCAAGTTTCCCTTCTCAATAGGACATTCGTACCGGAAATGTCCGATTTTCCCACACGTCCAACATTTTCTTTGGCCGGCGCTAAATTTGCTGCCTGGCCAATTTCCTTTTCCGTTCTTTTCTTTCTTATCTCTTTCATCCCGTTCGCCTTCTAATTTATTACCCTGCGCGTTCTTTTTTTCAATACTCGAAAAATTTTTATTAAAATTAAATTTGCTCTCTTTTTTTCGTAACCCTCCCCTTGAATTATTTTTATGGCTTTTGCCCTTTCAATTGCCAAACTCAATGAGGTTATATTTTCTAATTGTAAAGTTCGTTTGACAAAATTATCATATATCGCTGAAATGAATTGCGCGCAGGCGATTTTATCTCGGATTTCGTGTGGGCACTCGGGATACGCAAGGCGAACCAATCTTTCGAGTTCCGAACCTAATGTTGCCAAATCTTCCCCAAACTTTTGTTTCCGATTTGTAAATTGAACGTAATAATTTTGTAATAAGAGTCCTTCTCCAAAACGCAATTCAAGTTTTGATTTTAATTCGTTGAATTCTAAATTGGACACGTCTTCTACCGTCTCTAATACTGAACGCGCTTTTCCCCTCAAACTCGAAGCGAGTGCAACAGTCTTTGTCGTATCATCCCAACTATTTGCTTGAGCAATTAAGTTAAACTGCGAAAAAAATTCACGAAGTGATACTGTCCCGTCATAAGTATCAGGTTTTAATTTGTACCCTAATATCGCGCGAAAATCGTTCTCCCTCTCATTTAAAAAATGCGTACCCGAATTTCCACACGTTCTATTATTAGAAGGACTTAGCTGTAGATTTTGTGGCCGGGACTGAATCTCCTTCAAGGCTAGAAGTTCCTCGTCGTGACGACGCAGCATCGCCGCAATTTCGTCCTCTCGACGAGTCTGTTCCTGTCGCATCTCTCGCATTTCAAGAAGAAGAACCCGAAGAGCTGTAGATTCTGTTACCGCCGGTTCTCCTGCGACTTCCGGTAACGAGCCCGTTTGCTCTCCTGATTCCTCGCTGCCAGTCGTTCGAGACGGAGCTTGTGAACGGGTAATCCTCGGGGAATGTATCATTCTCAACGTTCCGTTCCGCTGCGGTGAGATATTCCTTCGATCCGATCCCGGACGAGCCCCCAAAATGTTACGTCCTCCGGATGTTCTTTCTCGCAAAAGACGTCTCTCGCACACACTCTCACTCACTCGCGGCTCGCGAAATAAATACACTCTCTTATGAAGAAATGATCCTTTATACAATGATGAAATACAATGACTAATGTACACGCGAAAGAAAGAAGATTGCTCTCTGGTCAAGTCACGTCCGTACGAGATGACAGCCAGACCAAAACTGTCATGGAGCCTGAAAACAACCACTGGGCGGTTGTCAATAAACAACCCCCCTTAACGATGAAGCTCCACGACACAAGGGATGATATTCAGGGGATGAAAGATCAGGGACGTAACAATATATATATTAAGGGGTTATACCTACCTGCAAACTTCAAAAAAATCGATTTTTGGATTTTGATATTTTCTTAAAGTACATACTTTCAAAAATATTCCCTGCAAATTTCAAGTCAATTCGACAAAAATTAACGAAGTTATGTGAGTTTAAAGGTATACTGGTGTGAACGTATCCTGCTGTTTAGAAGCAGGGTACAGAAACGGGTCTCAGGTATCGAACGGCAGCTGCGACGCGGACAAAAGCGGTCTCTATACAAAGCCAAAATATATAAATAAATAATATATATAAATATATATAAATATATATATAAATATTTATTTGGTTGTGAACTTAATTTGAAACTTCAAATGCGTTTTTCTCAAAACAGCATTTTTAAAATCGGTGACCAAAATATCTCGAAAACCGCTGCATCGATTAAAATAAAATTTGGTAGACATCTTTAATACTAAAAAATCTAGTGCCCGATCGTGGCTTTTGTTTTTTCGTTGCGTATTTTTTTTTTAATAATAAAAAAACGAGCGAATTTTTGGTAGCAAAATCATACCTTCAAATTTGAACAGCCGCCATTTTGTCGCAAATTAATTTTTCAAAAAAATGAACGATCGGGCACTAGATAATCTTATATATTAACTAAATTTCTCGGGTTTTTTGATTTCTGGTAAACCAGTTCAAAGTTAGAGTGGTCACCGCAAAACGCTTTTCAAAAAACTGCTTCTGGAAGATTAAGCATATCTTTTTTATTTATCAACATTTTGCAATAAAAAAAATACTAAATAATCTTTGAAATATATATATTTGAAAACATAAATGTTCCTTTCCAAAGCACTTCAAATATTTAAAAAAAAAATTCCCAAAAATACGTGTTTTTCAGACCTTGCAGGTAGGTATAACCCCTTAATAAAATTTATCTTTATTATTATTTTTTAATATTGCATTTATTGGATTATTTTTTTTCAGCATTATCAGTCTCATCACTGCTTGAGTCTGTAACATTCAATTGTCATTGTCATCAATTCTAAATTCTTATTCATAAACAAATATGTTAATAGAAAATATCAATAAAATTAGTTATTTTATCATTTGTATGAAGTGTGATAATAGAATCATTATTAATTTCTTGGAAATTATCATCAATAAAGTCTATGCTCTCCACACATTTTCAATTAATTCCTCAGTAATACAATCATTAATATTCTTTGTTGTCATTCTGAAAAATATTTATTGTTACTATTTTTTCAATTTTTATTATAATATAAATAAATAAAATAAAGATGAAATTACCTTCTAGTATTTTATCTCATAAATTTGATGAAAATAATGTTGGTGCAATTGTCATTAAATTGGGTGCTATTGCGGCACTGTCCGGGTCAATCTCTGCAGATTTAGGTTCAGGTTCACCACCTGTTGATAAACGTGCATGTTTTTCCTGCGTAAGGACATCTCTCTGTACTGATTTTAAATTACTTCATAATTTTCTAAATTGAACGTTTCTCTGTAATATTTATTTCACATTAAAATGTTAAAAATTAAATTACTTTGAATATAAAAAGTATTTAAAATCTAGCTTAAAAATGAAGCTATCTACCGCAAATATCATATTAGATTTTCTTCAGATATAATTAACATTTTTATTTTAAGCATTTAACATACCTAATTAAAAAAATTTATAGATTTCTTACCTTACTTGTAACAATAGATATATGCATCGCAAGTTTGATTCCATGCTTCTTCTTTGTCTTTCAAAGTTGTAGCATCACTTTTTTTCAAGGAGAATATTTTGTTAAAATTTTAAGAAAGAATTCTCTTCGGGATCTATATAATGTTTTTTGCTTGACATTCTTTTACAGAAAAGTTACTTTCTAACAATACTTTAGAGTCTGCAATAATTTGATACATGAATAAATGGTATAGACATACAACTCGTTAAATTTTTCTATATTTAAACACATATTTCATTGGCTGATACATCAGAAAAATCCCGAAGATTACTGAAAGTAAATCAGATCATCTTAAGCACTAACTTCAGTAATAAAATCTTAAATAAAAGGAAGTGCTTATTTCTTTATGAAGATTGTCTCATTTTAATTAAAACTATGAATACATGAAGTCTCAAGTCATACAAACAAGACGATCTTAATCAAGAAAATCTTAAGACGATGTTTAAGCTTGAACTTATGAATATTGTCCAAAGTCAACTCTCTAAAATTTGTTTTT